CAGGTCCTCTGCAAGAGCAGTCAGTGCTTTTAACTGCTGAGTCACCTCTCCAGACTCTCAAATTTTTAATTAGCATGAGATGTGTTAGAAAATCAGTACCTAACACAGATTTTATATGCTGTCCTAGGATAATCTGTTCATATCTCTTCTGAATGTGTCCTGTGAACTTCACCAGTTTTCTTTTTGAGAAAAAAAAGACAAGATCCCAATTCATTTTATTAATGTATTTTATTATTGTTGCTGTTTTAAAAAATGAATTTATTTCTCTGTGTGTGTGTGTGTGTGTGTGTGTGTGTGTGTGTGTGTATTTGCCTATATCAAGGCATGCACGAGGTGTCCAGAGGATAACGTAAGGGTGTTCTCTCCTTCCACCATAAGGGTCCCAGGCTTAGGGTTAGGCGACTTTACCCAGTGAGTCATCCCACTAGCCCTATTATTACTGGTCTTTTTAACAGGGTCTTATGTAGTCCAAGTTGCCTTTCCAACTCATTACATAGCCAGGATGAACTTAAACTCCTGAAACTCCTGTCTCTACCTTTCAAGTTTTTGTTTTGTTTTGTTTTTTGTTCTTTTGTTGTTTTGTTTTGATAGGGTCTCCCTAGTCCCAGTCGTCTAGAAGTCAAGACATGGACCAGGTTGGCCTCCATTTCAGAGATCTGCCTGCCTCTGCCTTCTGAGGGCTGGAATTAAAGGTATGTGCTACCATGCCCAGCTTAAATTATTTTTTTGAGACAATACTACTATATAGATCAAGTTGACCTGGAACTTGCAATCTTCCTGTCTCAGCCTCTCTAGTGCTAGAACTACCACACTCAACTTTGTTTACTGTTTCACTCTTCCTATCATTTCACAGTGTATGTGTATAGACTGTACCTGTGTGTATGTACAGATGTACTCACCTGTGTGGAGAAGCTAGAGGCTAACCTGGGGTATGGTTTCTCAACTGCTATAAACCTTTTTCTTTTTTGCAACAGAGTATCTCACTGGCCTTGAACTCACCAAGTAGTCTATACTAACGGGCTAGAGAGCCCCAAGAACCAGGCTGTCTCCACCTTCCCAGTCCTGGGATTACAGTCATGTGCCAATGCACCTGGATTTTTCTTACATAGGTTCTGGGAATCAAACTCAGGTCCTCTTACCAACTGAGCAATCCCCAGCCCTATTTTCATTCTTTATTAATTTTTCCTCCCTTATATGTATATGCTTCTCAATTACTTTGGATTGCTTAATCTTTGACAGGATAAGAAAAGGAAACATTACCTTTTGCATACTTATATAGATTTTCTACACACATTTATTGTGTGTGTGTGTATGTGTGTGTGTATCTTGAATTACAAAATGTTTCTTAGTAAATATTTCCTTTCCCACTCTGGATTCAAATGTATTCCCATATCATATCATACTGATTACTATGATATGGGAATTTACCACAGTTCTCATAAGATTACAGTATAAGTAAAACAGATTTTGAGTGTCCAAATATTTAACAAGCTTCCCTTGAAAGGTTGTTACATCGTTGAATAAACAGGATTTGATGCCACATTTACAAATAATGATTGACGGTTTATATAATGTATAATACTGAACTGACTTAACAACTAAGGATAAACTATATCAAAAGAATTTCTAATAGAGAATCTGAGCTTTAGCTTATCCTGAATGTGATACTAGCTCTAATGTTCTAGCACACATATTTCAGTTCAGTAGAGTGCTTCATTTTTCTTCACCCAGTAGGAAGAGTATCAATGATTAATGTATATTCTTCTAAAATAAAATTTAGATCATTGGGCCAGGAATGGTGGTATATGCCTTTAATCTCAGCACTCAGGAGGCAGAGGCAGGGAGATCTCTGTGAGTTTCAGGCCAGCCTGGTCTATATAGAGAGTTTCAGGCCAGCATGGGGCTATACAGTGAGACCCCTGTCTCAAAAAA